ACATGGGAGGGACAAAACTCTTAGCATGTGGGTTATAAGGTACTATAAACAATCAATCTGTAGATAGGATTATATAATCATTCTGCAGAGAATGGGGAGGTTACAGTAATAATGAAATGTGTACCACATTCAACTTAAGGCAGAAAATGGTATGGACCATAAAATATTTCAGTAGACAGCCAAATATTATGAATATGTTTTTAGGCATGGAACAAGAGGAATGAGAAGGATGAGGGAGTTAATTTGATCTAGCAAGAAATATCAACTTTGTAGACATCCTCAAGTACAGAACATCACCAGCCACTTTACCTAATATGTCTAAATATGCCTATTTAATGATCCCATAACTGGTCAGAATTTGCCCTTATTAGCTCAGCAGAGGACAGAATGTTCGACTGCAACGTGCTGTACTGGAGGAGGTTCCCCTTCTCACATCACTATTGCTGTCTCCCAGGGTCAGTGCATTATTGAACTCATTTTCTGTCCCAAAACTCTATGGTGTCATGGACAACTTAGTAAACAAGATACAGTGAAGTGGCCACACTTGCTGCTGTTTATTGAACATCTGCTAAATGCTAGGTAGTGGCTTTATGTATTACTTAGTTTTCACTTAAACCTTACAAAGCATATGGACTTTCTCTACCTTAAATATAAGGAGCCAAGGTATGTAGCTTTGATTTACTATCACGTGGAATTTCTACAAAAGGTAAGTTTAAATTTGAAAAAGCAGAAACTGAGCTACTAAGCCTAGTATCTGATCATGTAAAATTAGAACTGATGGAACTGGAAAGATTCGTTCTGTAGTTTAAAATATCTGCATTTTGAAAATGAGCTTCAGCTCTGGGAGTCAATAATGAAGATATGTGTGATACAAAAATGGCTCCATGGTGTTTATAAACAAAGGAATGAATTTAGCATCGCAAAGTGATCTTGCATTCTCATCTTCATTTCTGCATCATTCAAAATGGCTGAGATACAGAATCCATCACTGAGGCCAATGATACACAGGAAAGAAAATGAGGTATATGAATCAGTTGTCAGTGGGCTGTGAAAACACATGAAACCTTTAGCATAACATATGAAATCAGCAGTAATTATGTTGAGTGAAATAACTCGGACAAGGATAGACAAATGTCACATGTTCTGAATCCTATGGGATCTTAAAAGACTGCTGTACTCATAAACTCATAACAGCTGTGGTTTCCTGCAAAAAAACCTACACTAAGTTCAGCCAAACAGAATTCCAGCATGAAGAGGGTAGGGACTTTCAACTCATACCCCCCACTGAGGAGCTATTGAAGTTGAAGTCACTGGGGCAAAGAGTCCGTGGATGTAACACCTGATCCATTTACCATGCTCCGGTGGATGGCCCCACACCCATGAGTGTATGGGCAATATAACTCATATTCAATGAGTATGAAAAGATAAAAAGGAAGTGAAGTTTAGAGGGGCCTGAAGGGGGTGGGTGTGGATATCAAAACCGTTAAGTATAGGAAAGGGGAGAAAGCAAATACATTGTATGCATGCATGAAACACTCAAATAATAAAATGTTTTCTAGCTGGGTATGGTGGCTATGTGCTTCATGCTGAAGTTGAAACAGTTCCAGGATAGAATGATTTTTCTAAACCTCTCCCACTCTGGCAGTTGTGCTAACTATGCACTGTGGTTCAAGGTTCTGTGTCACCTAGGAGTCTGGGCAGCATCTTAACATCTACCCACTAGGTACAGAATAAACTTGTAAAAGCCTGCATGTACTCCACGTGACCAAACATCTCATGGAAGATTGAGCCCTTCTAGAGGACAAATTCTAACCTAAAGCATGATGACTGAGAGCATTTTCAGTAAACATTGCCCATTTCATCACTTGCCCTCTCTCAGTAGCATCTCAATTTTTAAGTCTATGAAAACCATCTTAAAAATAATCCTATAGCATCTAGTATTTCAAGGCTGTCTCCCATCCCAGTAATAGATAGTTGTGATTCTGCTTAGCTTCTGTGAACAGACCAGATCATGTACATTCAGAATGGGATGACTCTAGACCCTGAATGGAAAATTAGCTCATACTATTATTAGATACATATCCATTGTATTCTGGATATGTGCCTAAATTAAATGAATTGACATTCTAACTTCAGCCCACAGAGAATAGATTCTCTAAACAAGGCTCTTACACTTACCAAAATTTTCATAAATCAAGGAGTAAATACAGACCTGAATTTATATTCCTAGTGTAAATATCCTAAATGCCTGTAAAACTCTTCTTGAATCTGAGCATTGGTAGCTTCTCACAGTTTATTAATGGTGCATTTCTAACTTGATGAAGACAGATAGCACCCTCCAAGTCTACAAGGATGTGTGTCATCCACACTTCAAATCTTGAGAATTCCAGAAAATCTAGCAAATACAGGAAGTTAGATATGAAAGAAAATTAAAAGTGAAGGTTGTTCAAGCATGCTAATGGTGTTTGCTTTGTGAAGGAGTAATAGTCAAGGACTGACTGAATTTGCCTGTTTCTCACCAGGTCTCATGGGGCTATAACGTGAACAGGAAAATTTCTTTTCTGCTCAGACCAGTTTCCCCCAGAGAAATCAGTTAGTTGCTTAGAGCTTGGAATTGTATGTAATGAGAATACAGGGAGCAACAGGCATCACCCCTGGTCCTCATTGGAGACAATTCTCAGATGGACAGATTAAACTATTTCCATTTGCAGTCCATCTATGGATTAGGGACCACTGCTTCCTTCATTCTCAAAGTCTTTTCTGGAGTTACAGAAAGCCATCCATGAAAGAATCAAGACCTCTATAGGAGGAACTTCACAGAGGACCCATCCTGCTGAGTCCGAGTAGGTGCATCTACAATTGTGTATGAAGAATGGAAGGTGATAAAATGTACCTGATGCCCCCAAGAATCCAGCCATGCTAGCGTGGGGCTGAAGGGTTGGCAATTTGTTTTTGTTTTGTTTTGCTTTGTTTTTTCTCTCTCAGTGTTTGAAGAGTCCCACCTCGTTTTTTGTATGCATCTATATGTATGGGTATAACGGAGATATATGGAATGTCTAAATCTTGGGTAATATGCTCTGTCAGCACTTCATTGCAACACTTGCCAACCCAGTGCTTCTTATCCTGGGGGTATCTGCTATATTATTAGTAATAACTGCTTTTTATGCCTTTGGAAGGTTTTTTCATGTCTTTTTTACACTAGTTTTTGCCTTATGTGGTTGATTCAATTTCTCTATGGCAATCATTTCTTGCCATTTTCTACAGCATAGTCTTTTCTTTTGAGCAGACAAAACTTAGCTGTATTAAGGAAAAGTGAGAAGGAAATCCTGAGTGCAAGAGGGGCTCCCAAGAAGGCATTTTCACAGCATATTCTTTTGCACTCAACTACAGTTCATCTACATATGTTCATCAGAATGATTTCCCAAGCATGATGCCACCATGTAGCCTAGACTGCTCTCAGACTCACAGTGTTTTTGCCCTAGTTTCCTTAGCTCAGGGATCCCAGGCACATGCAACCAATCTGGTTCCTGTGCCCATATTTTATAGCCCTACAAGTTTTCATTATATGTATAGATGTTCCACTTTGAACAATGGGAATAAGTTATTTTAAGGGAAAGGTGAAATAATTTGTGTGATGCTGAAATGTTGAGATTTTCCAGGTGCAGACAACTCTTCAAGTCTGTGGTACCTCTTTTGCTTCTGCTGTAAGCAGCTCTATTGGAACATTAAAACCTGTCTATGTGCAACGTGTGAGATGGGCTAAGTTGAGACATGTTGCAGACCCTTGAGTCTCATCATTAGGACGCATGCTACAGATACAGCTCACCTCCTAGTTCCCTGATATTACTTATTTATTTTTAAATGCCATTCTTTTTTCATGCATGTGATAGAGAGACAGAGAGAGAAAGAGAGAGACAGACAGACAGACAGACAGACACACACACACACGAGAGAGAGAGAGAGAGAGAGAGAGAGAGAGAGAGAGAGACTGTATATGCAAATGGGTGCACATGCCATGGTGCATGTGTGGAGGTCAGAGGACAACTGGTAGGAGTCAGCTCTTTCTTCCACTATATTGATCTCAGGAGGGAACTCAGCTTCTCAGGCATGATGGCACCTTTATCTGCTGGGTCATTTTGACTGACTCACTGTGATTTTCTATGGCAGAAATACTAGCCAAGGTCAGTCCACATAGCATAATTTAAAGTGCACATTGACACATTTTGCACAGGCACTGTGTGAATGGGTATATAGAAGTTATTCTGTTGATATAACTGAAAGGTGACATCCATTCAGATAAGCCCCCCATCTCCTCCGCTTTATGTATGCCACCTTTCTACCCATTACATAATGAGACCTACTGCTATAACTGTCTGGTGTACATGGGTGGGATCATGCAACATTTTGATTACACAGGCATTCTGAGATCCTAGTGATCATGACTCCACTCTGTTATTTAACCCCTAGGCAGTTGAATTAAAAGGGCTATAACTTGAGTATACAAGAACTGAACAAGAAAGAAAAAGAAAGCAGGCCAATGTTCTTTTTAATGTTCAGGTTTATTTGTTTATGTGTGAGCATTTTACCTGTTTGTATGTATGTGCACCATATATGCTCCACAGAGGTCAGAAGAGGGTTTGGATCTCTGTAACTGGTGTTATGGTGGTTGTGAGCCACCATGTGGGTTATGGGAACCAAACCTGGGATACCTGCTAGAGCAAGTGCTCTTAACTTCTGAGACATCTGTGCAGTTGCAGCCCAGTATTCTTAACAACTATTTTGGAAAAGGAAGGAGACTAGTTGGGTGTGGGAAGGGGAACATAGGATAGTAACTTGAATATAATCAGAGTGAATAAATACTTGAATTAAGATGTCATTAAGAAACCCATCACACAATATGGATGCATTATATACATGTATACATATATATATATGTTTATATACATACACACATATGTATATGCTTATAAGCTACACAAATAACCTATAGTCCTGACTATAGACAAATGAATCCAATAATAGATTAGGAACATTACTTTGAATGTATTAGCTCTGTGTTTCTGGAAATGATGAGATCTCATTATGCAACAATCTCTGAATTCTCCAGCCATTGTGACTGTTTTCTTTCTTATGTTTTGTCCGTGGGGACTTTGTTATTTACATGCATTTATTCCACTGTAGTTTTTATATTTTTTATTATTGTGCATATCAAAAGCAGTCATATTATTTCTGTCTTTTCCAGAAGTCACTTACAGCACATGAAACAACAAAATGATACTCAGGGCTCACAGTTTCTCCTCCTGGGACTTTCAGAAGACCCGGAACTGCAGACCCTTATATATAGGCTCTTCTTCTCCATGTACCTTGTGACCATTTTGGGGAATCTTCTCATCATCCTGGCCACAATCTCAGACTTCCACCTGCACACAGCCATGTACTTCTTCCTCTCCAACCTGTCCTTCGTGGACATCTGTCTATCTTCCACCACCATCCCAAAGATGCTGCGGAATGTTTATGCACACCACAAGGCCATAACTTATGAAGGCTGCATCATGCAAATTTATTTTTTCACATTATTTGTAGGGCTAGATAACTTCCTTCTGGCTGTAATGGCTTATGATCGCTTTGTGGCCATCTGTCACCCCCTGCACTACACAAGCATTATGACACCTCAGCTCTGTGTGTCACTAGTTCTGGTGTCTTGGATCACAAGTTCCCTGAATTCCTCACTACAAGGCTTCATGGTCCTGCAGCTTTCTTTCTGTGCTAATGTGGAAATTCCACATTTTTTCTGTGAACTTAGCATGTTGGTTCACCTTGCCTGTTCTGACACCTTTGTAAATGATATGGTAATGAATGTTTTAGCTGCACTCTTGGGTGGTGGTTGTCTCACCGGCATCCTTTACTCTTATGCCAAGATAGTGTCCTCTATACGTGCAATCTCCTCAGCGCAGGGGAAGTACAAAGCTTTTTCCACCTGTGCAGCTCACCTTTCTGTTGTCTCTTTATTCTATTGTACCCTTCTGGGAGTGTACCTCAGTTCTGCTGTGTCCCAAAACTCACACTCCACTGCAGTAGCTTCATTGATGTATACAGTAGTCACCCCCATGCTGAACCCCTTCATCTATAGTCTAAGGAACAATGACATCAAGAGAGCGCTGAAGAAGAACTTTGTGAGAGAGAAATTAGAAAAGTGAGTACTGTATTGGGCCTTAAGTTTTAAAATAAGAAATTCCAATTTAAGGTCTGAAGAGTTTGAAATATCTTCTCTGACTCTTGGACTTGTACACCAATCCCACTGCCTAGACTGAGAGATCATTTTGGAAAATGGGATGAAAGAGTTTAAGAGCCTGAGGCAGTGGGTAACTACAAGGGGGACATTGTCTTCTAGACCCAGCAGGACATCTGTTTATATGAACTCAAAGAAGTTGCAACATGATGCACAAAATATGTCCAAATCCAAGCCAGACAAACCCAAGCACAGAAAGGGAAAGTGGCACACAATTCCAGCCCACATAGTGTAGTTATTTTAGCTGCTTGAAGGAGAGACAGTTTTCTCTAAGAGTGTAGACCCTGGTATTTTGATCACTCTCCAGTGGAAAGCCACACATGTAAGAGTATTGGAGCAGCACAAATTAGTCCCAAAATATTTAAAAATAAAAGAACACAAATGTGGATGGATATGGACTGGGTAGGTAGATGTGAAGAGCTGAAGAAGGGGCTCATATGGCCAAAGCACATATGAAAGTCCCAAAGAACTAATAGAAGAGAAATCCCATTTTTGGGTACAATGACAGAAGCAGGGGTTGTTACTTTAAGGTATTTTCAGTAGTTTCCATTTATTTGATTTCAAATTTTCTATTAAGTCGGTAATTATCCTGTAAGCATACTGTTTCTCCCAGTACCTAGTTTTCCCTTTTACAACTTTCAGACTTTCTCAACCCTGTTTTCAGTCACAAATAACACATATTTTTAAAGATCCCCATTTATGTCATACATGAATTTCTTTTTAAAAATGATCTTCATTTTAAAATTAGTATAAAAGATATATTATGGCATGTTGAAGCCAAGTGTGTTTCAACAGAATTTTCCTTCCCATTTCTCCCGCCCACTGTCACCTCTAACAGACCATGTAACCCCCCTCAGTCTCTCCCGCTTTCATGTTGCACATGTCCTTTAACATGTCCCCATCTTTCCTCAGAATCTCTTTTTACCATCTCTGGATCTCCTTTTACTAATAAATAATTTATATGAATACCATGGAAAACAAAGTGATTTTTCTTGTGGTTACTAACACAAGGTCTTGTGCTGGGCTTCTGCTCTGTCCTCCTTCCACTCAGGGGAACTCACATCCGACACCAAGGGCCATCTGCAAAGTCGTGGATGACAGCTGAGGTTGTGAAGGTCCTTCCTGCATCTTTTCCTGACTCAGCATCTTCTAACAGGCTTCTGTGCTTTATATTTTAGCAAGGAATTTTTTTTTATTTTCATGCCAATTTTGTTCTCTTCTTCAGTTCTGCATCCACAAACCTTCACCATTGTTATTGGGATACATCTATTATCAAACACATATAATGAGAAAAACACATTTTTAGTAAATTGATTTCCTTGACCTCTGAATGGTAGTGGACATTATACAAAATGATATAAATACATTCATCATACATTCAATCACTATGGAAATATTTCTTTGTCATACAATAAATATATTCATTGAGATATAAGAGAGTTCTGCCATATTAAAATAACTACTCTGAATACTGATTGATACATTTAAAAATATTTACCTTTGTCTGTGTGTGCCTATGTATGGGCTTGTGTACATGACTGCATCGGCCAAAGCTACGAGATGGTTTCAGGTCTCCTGGAGCTGGGGCTCTGGGAAGTTGTGAATCTCCTGAATTTAGTACTGGTCCTCTGGAAGAGTGACAAGTGACCTAAACAGCTGAGCCATCTCTCAGCCTCTGACTGACATATTTATTCTATTGTTATTATTAAAGTTAGTATTTTGGTTTTTTTTCTAGAACTTCCATTTTTCCAGAAACCTGATTGCTCTCAAGTTACAAGTAAGAGGGGTAATTTATTATATGTCTTCTTTATGCTCACAAGTCACTTTTGCCATCATGATAAAAATTTGTCTGTAAGAGAGCTTAATTTCCTATCCAGACATGTGATTTTGGTTCACTAGCTTTCCTATACAAATATGAAAATTCTTTTTTATGGAAAAAATCTCCATGTAGCAATGTCTAAATATAGACTATTGGGCATACTTGCAAAATGAATGGTGAATAATGTCTTTATTTACAGAGAAAACTCCAAAGTAACATGTTACACAGTTGTCTTCATGTCCATTGGTTATTATAAAGGTTTGCTTTTGCTGCAGAACAAGAATTGCTAATAATAAATATTTTAATGAAGTGTCACTGTTTTCAATAAGACAATATGACAGCCTAGATACTCTAGGCTATGCTGATCCTGGTATTTTGGTCAGTAGTGTTCAGCTTGTGAGTTTCTTCACATCTTGCCTGGGCTTCTAATTATTGGGGATTTATCTGAACATTAGATGATTTAGGACAGTTTGGTTGTGGAAACTTGCCATCCATCACAAATACTTTTTTATTTATAATTGTGAAAGATGTTTTTCCAGGTTATTGAGGCATGATTCAAACAAAGCATAGTAGAAATACTGACTGACCCTTAAGACTCGCTGTCAGTATCACCATTTTCTATTATTAAAGGAATACTAAGAAGACGTCAATGGCTCTATCAAGCACTGAACCCAGAATGATGCAATACCAACCTAAGCAAGATGTGTCTGCTAGTACAATACTGACAAGGATGTTCATGGAGGTAACCAATCAGCTACCTTGATTGAATTAAGGAGGTAATTGAGGTATGATGCTATAAAAATGTTCAAAACTCACTGAAAGGGAACTATAGACCCTAGCATAGAACCTCTTCTTATTTTCCTTATATTTTTTCTATTATTGAAAATGGATTTTTTGTCTCACATAATGTATCCTGATTATGGTTTTGCCTCCTTATACTCCTCCTAGTTCCTCACTGCCTCCTCTCCAGTTTAGACTTTCTGTCTCATTAGAAAACATATAGGTTTCTAAGGGATAATAATAAAATACAGTAAAATAAAATATAAGATAAAGACTTGGTTCCATTGGGTAAACACTCACCCCAAACACAGGCCATACTTGCCAGAAGACCATGAAGGCAGGCACCCATTTTTGGTTCACATAGGCAGACACCTCCTGCCCAACCATAGGTCATGCCTACTAGAAAGCTATTAGGCAGTAACCCTCAGACCTTCCTCACTTTTTAGGATCCAACAGACCTGATTTTCAGTTGTCCCTGCCCCATTTGTCACTGTGTCCCAGCCCCCAACTCCAGAAGACACCCCTACCAAAATACAGGCTAGAAGACCAGGAAGGCTGCCTGCCTGAAAACCTCTACTCCCTTGGTGTTCACCTTCCAACACTATCCCCAATCACCCTCTCCTCCTCCATGCTATATCCCAGCCCACAACCCAGATGGAGACTACTTGCTGATCACCGGAACTCCAGGTAGTCCACCTACCTACAGAACTCCACCACTTTGTGTGCCCCAATACTATCCTCAATCCCCCTTCCCTCTGCTTTACCATGTACCAGCCTCCAATTCTGGCAGAGACACCCTGCTGAATCAGAGGCCAAACAGGCCACCAGAATTCCTGCCTCCAACTCAGGTAAAGAACCCCTGCTCAACAAGAGACCATGCCAGTTACTGGAAGTCAAGCCCCCAAATCAGGTGGAGACTCCTTACACAACTACAGAATACACAGACCAGAAGACCAGAGGCATAACAGAAACCAAGGAACAAATCACACATCCAACAAAGAAACCCAGAAATCATCACTTAGACTTAGATCCAGCCATTCCTCTCTTGGGTATATACCCAAATACTGCTTGTCCATACAACAAGGACATATGTTCAACCATGTTCATAGCAGCATTGTTTGTAATAGACAGAACCTGGAAGCAACCTAGATGCCCCTCAACTGAAGAATGGAAAGAGAAAATGTGGTACATTTATACAATGGAGTACTACTCAGCAGAAAAAAGCAATGGAATCTTGAAATTCGCAGGCAAATGGATGGAACTAGAAGAAACCATCCTGAGTGAGGTAACCCAATCACAAAAAAGACAAACATGGTTTGTACTCACTCATATATGATTTTTAGACATAGAGCAAAGGTTTATCAGCCTATAATCCTCTACCCCAAGGAAACTAGAAATCATGAATGACTCTAAGGGATAAATGGACCCCAGGAATGGGAAGTGGCATGAACTCC